TATTTCATTGCTTAGGTTGGCAGTTGTTTTATTAGCTTCAAGGTTTGTATTAGTGTTAGCGATTAAAGGATCTAGTTTCATGTTACTAGATAAGCTTTCATTAGGACTTGAGAATAAGCTCTCATTGGGACTTGAGGGTAAGCTCTTATTGAAACTTGAGGTTTCTTCAGATGTTGCAACTGGGTCTGAAACTGTAGTTTCTTTTTTATTCTGAATTACTTCTTCCATATTGGTTTTGTATGGGTTGTTAGGGCTAAAGCTAATTTCTGTAGTCTCAGACTTTTGCATTTTTTTCTTCTCCAATCTAGATCTAGCTTCTCTAAGAAGATGTCTAGCTTCTATTGAGTCTTTAAGTTCCTACATCTTGAAATACTATCTTTACCAATTCATTTATTTGTTCTTTTTTTTCCATCATCATGTTTTTTAACTTAACTGAGAGAAAAGTACATTTGAGATTTATTGGAATGTACCCAAACAAGATTTGGTTGAAGATACTGATCCCCTCTGACATATAAAGCTTTTGCTTGTCCTTGTTGACAAAGACAGTTTCTAGAAAAACATGCTTTTCTCTTTGCATATACATTTTGGCTGCTAGTAGGTCTCCTCCAAGCTTGGTTGCTAAAGCTAGAATAATATTATTTGTTTAGATGTTTACAAGATCCTGGATATTAAAAATAAGTGCATTTTCGTTTTTAAAAAGTATTTTCTGTTTTGGTATAGCATTTGTGAACATAGCCTTTTCTTCTTTTAGTTTAGAGAAAAGTTCTGACCACTGCTTGTTTCTGGGAGGTCGATTTTCTGTTCGGGAGGTTTGTGATCTACTTGTCTGGAAACCGAGCCTGTTCTTGGGTCAAGATCTGTTGTTTGTGCATCGTCATATGTTGAATTTACGTGTTTTTGTTTATTGTTTACCTTATTTGTTGTATTTACGTGATTTGTTGTGTCTGAAGAGCTAGCATGTGTTTCTTGTTGTTTGCAAGAATTTTTGTTTTCATTTTTGTTTTTTTCTGTACTTTCTTGTTCTTCTTCCACTTGGTTGGCCCAGCTTGTGTTAAACTTATTGAGATCCATGTTTGATGATATGTTTGTTTCTAGCTTAGAGCTGTTGTTGCTATTGTTATTGCTATTGCCTAGCTTTTATAAAGTTGAAAATTTTGTCGTTGTTTGAAGAAAGCCTAGGCTTCTTGTTGTTTGGTTGCTTACCCATGTCTAGAGTAATAAGTTTGTGCTTTCTGGACCTTAAAGTCCTTGTCTCATTAGGAGAGTCGATGATAAAAAATAAGTTTTTTAGTAAAATTTTGATTTCGAATATATTTCCAGAGGTAAACCGGAAAGAGTTTTAAATTTTATTTTTTAAGAGTAAATTTGGTAATAAAATTTCTTGCAGCTTCCAATCTGAGATCTGACCAATACTAACCGAAAGATCATCAGCATAAGCTGTGATTTTGAATGCTGAATTGTTTACTTGAATACCTTTAATATTCTGGTCAATTGCTTGGATCAATAGATTGATAGCTAATATATATATAGGAGTGGAGAGAGAGGGTCTCCTTGTCTAACCTCTTTTTACTTTGTTTAACTCCTCTTTCTACTCTAAAAGCCTCTGAGATAGTGTTTGTATCTACTATATGGGCCTTTTGAGTAGCTAGTAAAGAGCTAATAATATTGGTAAACTTGTGGCTAAAGTTCATTCTCTCTAGAATAAGCTTTAGGAATTCGTGATTTACTCTGTCAAAAGCTTTTTGTTTGTCTAGTTGAAGGAGTCAATGCTGTGCTAATTGGTCTTCTTGGTTTCTTAAAGTAGTGATAATATCTAGAGCAGTATCAATGATCAATCTTTTTTATGATAAATGCCTGTTGTATAGGACCAATAATCTCATCACAAATAGGGTTAATTCTATTTGCTAAGATTTTCATGAAGATTTTTGCATCTGAATTTACTAGAGAGATAGGTCTCCAGTTATTTAGATTAAATAAGTCATCAGCTTTTTTAGGGATAAGTGTGATGAAGCTTTTGCTTCATGAGCTTGGAATTGTTCCAGTGGTCATTACATTATTAAAAATTTTAGTGAGAATTGGAAGAGAGAATTTCTGGATATCTTTAAGTTAAACCATCTGAGCCAGGGCCTTATTGTTAGAAAGCTTGTTAATGACAAGACTGTTCTTCTTTAGTGATAGGTCTGGCTAGCTGAAGGTTTTGTTTAGAAGAGACCTTTTTTAGATTGGCTATAATCTGAAATGCTCTTCTCTATCGATATTTTTACTCTTATACAAAGCTTGGTAAGAGTCTTTAATATAGCTTATTGTTTGTTCTTGTGTAAGCTTATTAATAGTATTAGGGTCTCTAATTTTGCTGCTGCAGCCAGATGTATTTTTGGACTTGTAAAGAGCAAAAAAGTATTTAGTTGACTTCTATCCATTTAGCTTTTGAGCGCAGACACCATTTATCAGATAGTAATTGTAGTTCTTCCTGTAGTTTAAGGTTTATCTTTTCTGATATCAATTTAAGTTCTTCTAAGTTAGGATTCTTAGCAATTTTGTTATTAATATTATTAAGCCTTTTCTGTAATCTTTGTATGTTGCTTTCAGAAAATAAGGGAGGCTTGATTGCTCTAACAATATATTGAATTTTATACTTGCACAGATCCCATTCTAGGGGGTCCTGGAAGTTTTAAAGTTCTTTAATAATATCATCCTTAAGTTTAGAGTTATTCCAATATTTTCTCTCAAACTTCCAGAAGGTTTTCCAATAATGCTTTGGTTTGAAGTTAAGAACACTTTCTACTATTAAGTAATCCGAGTTTTCAAATCATGTATGCATATTAGTGCAGAGGTGACTATAGCTAGCCTCAATAAAAATGTAGTCCAGCCTGGTTGCTATTCTTCGATTGCCAGAAGTTGTTTGATAGAAAGTAAGAAAAGGGTCTTTTTTAGAAAATAGTGCAGTATCTGTATAATCAGCTATTAGTTCTCTTAGTAGATCTCTAGAGCGATTATTCTAAGAAGTAACTTGACTAATTCTGTCTTTTTCTGGTCTTAAATTTGTATTAAAATTACCTTCTATTATTAAAAAAGTTGATTCTTTTCTCGATATTGGGTGGTGCATAGATATTTGTAATAAGAAAAGGCTGTTGTTTGATCATAGTTTTGATTGAAACTACTCGATCATTGTGGGAGATTTTGGTATCAGTAAGTTTAATGTTTTTTTTTTCTGCAAGGGTTGCTACTTTGAATAATCAAAGTGAATCAAAGCCCCATTGTTGAGAGAAGAATCTTC